TGAACTTTCAATTTTCAACCATAACCCCAATGTCATAGTCTCCTTTGATACCTGTCGAAGAACCTTATCACCAAGGCTTAACAATATTCGTTGTGGGTTTTCTCTATCATGGTCGTCTTTTCATTTTCTGTTAACGTAACATCCATGGTTGCCTTTCCCTTCAACACTTCCAAACAACCCTGTTGAACAAGTAGGGCTTTCATATTCAAGCGCCATAAACCAAAATCGTTCACTCCGGTGAACTTTCCAATCTCATACTTTGTTGAAGGCATCTTCCTCCATGCTCACCACATTAATTTGTTGTGAATTAGGATGCCTTAAAGAAAAATATACTCGGTTTCTTTATAGGTAAGAAACACACAAGGGTTAGGGTTAACAAGGATTGGTTATAACGGTTATTCTTTACTTTCTCTTTTAATCGGATTATAAGTACTTAAGAATAACAAATAACCCTCTCACCCTAATCAGGATTTGCCACACCATACTTAAGATGAGAGACTAGTATGTTATTTATAATAAAATCTAACATACTAAACTAATGGGACTTTTAACAATTACCCATTACAAGCTAACTTAAACAGTTGGATCCTTAACACAAGGCCCAAACCGACAACTACATACTAGAACACAATTCGACTATAACATGTAGGTCTTCGACAACAGCATCTGAGCAGACTTTGACGACATGCTTAACTAGAGTTCAATCCAAAATCTCACAACATAAATAGATAAAAATATATTTAAGACAAAATGGAATCATCATTCAACAGGCATGCATCATATAATGAAAACATGATTCTACATCCTTACTATTAGGAAAGATTGGTCATTCTACATCCTTACTACTAGGGAAAAAATATAGTAAAACAAAAGAAACCAGCTACAAGATGTAACTAATATCTTCAACTTGACAGCAGAATCTCCACCTCAATCTTGAGATTTGTATGTTAATAACCATTAGTAAACTTGCTACAGCCTAAATCTTAATGATATCTATCACTCACAAAAATTAAGCTAATTTGTTTTGGAAAGTACCTTGTAACAAGAAAGGATATTCATCATTACAGCTCCAAATTTTCCAGAATGCCTTGCCGCTATTATCCAAGTACTCAATTCTCACTGCATCACAACTTTGATTCCCTTTAGATATTGTTCCCTTTGCCTCAAGAAACTCATTATGAGCTTCAACTGCTTCGCTTTTAATTTTCGAGAGAAGAGCATCATATTCTGAAATTGAGAAGGTAGCCTCATTTTGTATAATGGCTTTAGCCATCTCATCGTGAAACTTTTGCTTAAGGCTTTTTTCCTATAGATAACATCTTGGAATGAATAATTAACACTGTTTATTTAAGAAAGTCTTGCATAACCAAAATTCTAGAGCACATAAACGCTAGTAAAAGACGTATAGCCTCGAGGCGGACAACTGGAGCATAAGTTTCCTCATAATTTATGTCATTCTCTTAGTTATATTCTTAAGCCACTAGTCGGGCCTTGTTCCTTGTTATCACTCTGTTTTCGTCCAGTTTGTTTCTAAAAACCCACTTAGTGCCTATAACTTGGTGCTCTCATGGAGGTGGGACAAGTTCCCCCACATACTTTATTTTTAATTGATTTAACTCATCTTGCATAGTCATAACCCTGCCCCTCAATTAAGGCTTCTTTTGATTTTTTAGGTTCAACTTTTGATATGAATGCAAAGTGGTAACAAGAATTACTTATCTTAGAGCATGTAGTCACGCATTTGGTTATATCTCCAAGAATGTTATCGATTAGATAGTCTTTTGAACCCCTTCAACCCAAGGGAAGATCATCCATTTTAGTTTCACTTTCATCCTTCTCTTTTTCAGGATCGCCATCTTCCTCTTTCTCGTGTTTCACCGCTTCAGTTTGATCAATTTCTTCTTCGATGTCTTTGAGTATGTCTTTTGAAGATATACATGCATCATGAAAATAAATATCTTTCCCGACATTTCTTGGATAAGATTCACCAAAAGTGACATGCGCGGGCTCCTCAACAGTAAGTAATCTTTTATTGTACACTCTATAGGCTTTGGTTGACTGAAAGTGTCCAAGGAAGATACCTTCGTCAGCTTTCACATCAAATTTTCCAAGGTTGTCTTTACCATTATTCAATATAAATCACTTGCATCCGAAGACATGAAATGTGATAAATTTGGTATTCTACCTTTGAGAATTTCATAAGGTGTTTTGTTTAAGATAGGACGAATAAGTATCCTATTTAAAACATAACACGCCGTACTAATTGCATTGGTTCAAAAATATTTAGGTAGACTACTCTCATTGATCATAGTTCTTTCCAACTCCTCTTAAATTTTATTTTTGCGCTCTACAATACCATATTATTATGGAGTTCTTGGAGGGAGAAATTATGTTCAATATCATATTTATCACAATAATCCTCAAAGAGATGGTTTTCAAATTCACCTTCATGATCGCTTCGAGTTGCAACTATGTTTATGTGTGTGTGTGTGTGTTTGTGTGTGTGTGTGTGTGTGCGCGAGCGTGTTTGTGTGTAAGTGTGTGTGTGTGTGTGTGTGTGTGTGTGTGTGTGTGTGTGTGTGTGTGTGTGTGTGTTTGTGTGTGCGCGAGCGTGTACGTGTGTGTGTATGTGTGTGCGCGCACGCGTGTGTTTGAAGGAAAATAACAAAAAAACATATTTTTAGCAAAATTAGAAGTTTGAAAAAAATTAAAACAATATGTATTGACTCCAAGAATGTGAGAGTCGGCTCATAAAACTATACAAACTTCTATGTGTCGACACATAATACCTAGGAGTCGACTCCAAGAAGGCAGAGACATTTTGCTTTCCAAAACATCAGCTTGTGTCGACCTCATTGAGTCATGTGTTGACTCACCCATGTTATGTGTCGACCTTAAAAAGTTGTGTGTCGACACATAGAAGGCATTGACTTTTGTTTTAAAATGCCTTCAGTGTGTATCTACCCATAACGTGGATGTATGGGTGGCAAAATGGGTCGTGGCCCGTAGGACCGGCCCGCTACCCGTTAAAAATGGCGGGTTCGGTTGAGATTTTGAGTCCGCCTCCCACCAAAGTCCGCCCCGCTAAAGCCCGCCACCCGCCAAAGCTCGTCGTTCGGGAAAGACCGCCGCACATATTCGTGCAGCTTGTCCCACCTTAAACCCGCCTTTTTTTAATTAATTCTAGTAATTCAAATTCTTGATGGTTTTATTTTAACATTTATTTGAGAATATATGCAATACTTTTAAAGTAAAATTTGTTTAAAAGATACTTTATAAAAATTGTTCTAAAAAATAAGTGAAAATCCTAATTGAAATGTAAAAACAAGCATATTAATCTATTAAAAAATGAAAATAAATAAATAAATAAAAACAGGCAGGCAAGTCCGCCCCGCCAACCCTCCATCTTGGCAGGACGAGTTAGATTTGTATGCCTATTTCCACTTGGCGGCCTTGTCTACTCCGCCTTTTTTCTTTTCTTTTGCAGGCAGGGCGGACGGGCTGTTTTGCCACCACTACATGGATGATTCAATCCATAACCTTGTCTTTCATGAAAAATCATAATTTTGACATGTAAAATGTAAAAATCTATATAACTTGATTTTAAGTATCTTAATATGAAAATGCACATCTAAACATAGAGAATAAGATCCAATATACACAAATATTAAGTGTTCTAATTTTGACATTATTCAAAATCTTTTCTAAAAGGACAGTGCACTCACACATTAAATCAAATTCGTCATTCTGACTAATATTAGTAAGGTTATATGCATAATGATTAGCTTCTCAATAAATGTTTGATTTTACACTTCAAATATGATTAATATATGAAAGATAACGCTCCAAAATCAAATAAAGATTATGAATCTTCCGAGAGATAATTATATTAATCACAATAATGTAATCAATCTCGACAAGTAAGGAAAAGGAACTCAAATTACTTATCATTCTCAAACCATAGACTAAACTTCAAAATTCATCCAAACGAAGTTAATTGATCAAGGTTACAAGAAAAATCAATAGCAAAAATTTCTTCAGTCCCTAATGAGATCTCCACGAACCGAAAGTCATGTACTAGTAAAATAGGACCCGTTGATATTCAGCATAAGAATATTAGCAGAAGGAAGTTTCCATTTTATATTGATTTTATATTTTATTTGCTCAGCATAAGAGGATGAATAAAGAAAAAGATGGTGAACAAAAATGTAGGTACATTCAAAGATTACTTTAAAAAATTTAAGATCAAAAGATGTCTTAAGAAAATTAGTTTTATATTACCAGAATAAATTCCTCATGATATAAAAGAAAGCTACAAAGTTTCATTGATTAGTATTGATTGACGCCAATTGAAAATTAAGATTCATCCACTACATTAATCCAAGGCTAAAGAAAACTGCCAAGGACATGTATAATAGTCTCAAGGGCTTGCATACAATACAGTTAAAAATCATACATTCATGTCAGGCTTGCTTCTTTTTACCATTAGTAAGAATTTTTTATGGTACAACTTCCAAAAGAAAGATTGGCTTCTACCAAGATATTTTCACTTTTAGATGATTTTGAAATTTAGAAAAATATTTAAATTATCATCCAACAAAATATGGTTAATGATTTTATAAAGCATCTTCATCAACTTGAACAGTATGATAGTTAATATTAGCAATTTTTTATAAAGCATGTATACACGAGTTTATAAAGCATCTTTCATCATACTTTTCATTTTTTGAAGTAAAATGAAAGTGTAGAACTTTGCAAACATGATGAATCAAAACAAATTATGTAAAACATAATTAGCTAAAAATATGTTTTAGCCAAAATGGTATCATCATTGAAAAAGTATGCATCATCTAATGAAAACATACCAACAAAGGTTTACTAAAAAAAACATTAGACCACAGTATTTGGTCATTCTACATCCTTAATATTAGGAAGAAAAATACAGAACAAAATAAACCAGCTACAAGATGTAACTAATATCACCAAAGTATCTGAAACAATTATACTGAAGCAAGCTTTGGAAACCAACTTCTCCTTGAGGAAATGTACTTATTGACCTCATCCTTCTGCCCATCACCATAAACAAACCATTTTTCATCAACTTGAACAGCAGAATCTCCACCCTCTATCTTGAGATCTGTATGTTAATATCATTAATAAACTTGCTAGAGCTTAAATCTTAATGGTATAATTCACAAAGTTAAGCTAATTTGTTTAGAAAATTACCTTGTAACAAGAAAGCATATTCATCATTACAGCTCCTAAATTTCCAGAATGTCTTGCCACTATTATCCAAGTACTCGGGCTCAATTCTCACTGCATCACAAAATTGGTTCCCTTTAGAGAATGTTCCCTTTGCCTCGAGAAACTCATTATGAGCTTGAGCTGCTTCACTTTTAATTTTCGAGAGAAGAGCATCATATTCTGAAATTGAGAAGGTAGCCCCATTTTGTATAATGGCTTTTGCCATCTCATCCTGCAACTTTTGCTTAAGGCTTTTTTCCTATAGATAACATATACACAACAATATGAACACCGTATGAAACTTTGCAATAGAACAAAAACAAAACAACCAGTGTCTTCTTACCTTTTCCTTTGCTTCGGCAACCTTCGATCTTGCTGCTTTCTTTTCTTCAGCTAATATTTCATTTTGCTGATCAATATAACTCCTTAGCTTCCTGAACATATTAAGGCAAGTAACCAACCACTTTTAAGATTATCATGAAGACAAAGTAAGGAGGAAAAACAGTTTTTTTAAATTTGAAATGCTTACTTTGTGCCCAGAGCTTCATCACAAATGAAATTTAGAAGGATAAGTTTTTTAGATAAGTCCAATTCATTATATCCACTTATGCCTTTATTAAGCCAATCCAGCGGAAATGCTTTTAGCCCAAGATTGGATTCAGTAATTAAATCCTTCAAAACATTCAACCATGAATGTTTTCCATTGCTAGCAGTTAAGGATGAAGACCTAAACAAAAGTGATTCAAAGATAATAAAGTTTATTCCAAACATAATGTACAAAATAAATCCCTCACACCCTTCAGACATGAAATAAATTCAAGAGTTAAATGGAATCAACTTACTCAATATCTGACTCAGATCCTATTAGAGTCAATAGTTTGATTTGGAACTCAACCACTAAGGTGTTTTGTCCACATCGCAAATTCCTCTTACGTATCAAAGTTCTTAAAATTGCCCCTGCTTCACCTTTCTTGACATCAAGAGCCTAAATTTTGCAAGAGTAAAAATGTGAGAAAACTTGATAAAGCAATTATGAAAGGATGTAACCCTATTAAGTGTAAAACAAAATTATTTAAGCTATGATAACAATGGTATGTCTAGAGAATTTAACTCGCAACCATAATTGAAATTAATCAACTAAATATCTAAGAAAATTCAACAACAGAACTAGAAACTGAATTATAATATTGGTAATAAGGCATACTTTTCCAAACACTCTGCAGAATTCTAAAAATTGCAATGCATTCCCAACATCTTCTAGTGCAAACTCAATGTCCAATATTTGTGTCATCTCAGTACCAAGGGGCAAAGGAACCTCTTCCTTAAGTTTTTGTGATTGCAAAACTATAGCATTTTTTTTAGACTTGGCACTAGCATTGTCGCCTTCCAAAATCACAACAGGACCATCCATCTGAACATGATTCACACCATGATTCACCTCAACTTTTGTTTCCATTTCAGCATTTTCATTTCTTTTGACATCACTGTCTGAAACTCCATTACAATGGTTAAGCCTTTTGAACATCTTTTTTTGGCAAGCCCCCTCAACATTGTTGCCATTAGATATTTCACTTAACTTTTTCTGCTTCATTTTCTTGGTTTTCACATGTTCAACTTCTAAACCTTTGTTTTCACCTAATCCGTCTTTCTTCTGTGCTTGCCCAGATTGATCCACTACAAGCTCCTATAGTAAATAACATGAAAATCAAACTTTAAAACAAATTTTTGCTTCAACCATCATTAATTTCAAATGCATTTAAGAACATTAACCACACCATGACTCACCTTTACTTTTGCTTCCATTTCAGCATTTTCATTGCTTTTGACTTCAACGTCTGAAACTTCATGACAATGCTTAGGCCTTTTCAGTATCTTTTTTTGGCAAGCCTCCTCAACATTTTTGCCATCAGATATTCCATTTAACTTTTTCTGCTTCATTCTCTTGGCTTTCACATTTTCAACTTTTACACCTTTGCTTTCACCTAATGAGTTTTTCTGTTGTGCCTCCCCAGTTAGATCCACTAAATGCCCCTATGGTATACAACATACAAAAATCAAACATAAAACAGTGAAATTCAACACATTTTTGCTTCAATCTTCAATAATTTCAATAACATAAATGAACATGAGTCACACCATGACTCACCTCTACTGTTGTTTCCATTTCAGGATTTTCACTTCTTTTGACTTCATCTTCAGGAACGCCGTTACAATGTTTGGGTTTTTTCGACATCTTCTTTTGACAAGCACCATCAACATTGCTGCCGTTAGATATTTCTTTTAATTTTCTCCGCTTCATTTTCTTGGTTTTCTCATTTTCAACCTTGTTTCTACCTAATGAGTTTTCCTTCCCTGGTTCCTCAAAAAGGTCCACTACAAACCCCTATATTATATAACAAATATGAAAATCAAACATAAAAACTAATACAAAAATCAATACATGTTTGCTTCAACCATAGTTACTTTCAATTGCATGGATGAACATAAATCAGTGACTCACCTCTACTTTTGTGTCCATTTCAGCATTTTTATTTCTATTGACTGCGTTGTCTGAAACTCCCTTACAATGGTTTGGCTTTTTCAATATCTCCTTTTCATCGACATTGTTGCCATTAGATATTTCCTTAACCTTTTTCTGCTTCATTTTCTTGGTTTTCTCCTTTTCAACCTTTAAACCATTGTTTTCACCTAATGAGTTTTCCTTTCCTGGTTCCCCAAATAGTTCCACTACAAGCCCCTACATTATATAAAATAATACTAATAAATAAAATAAAATGAGTCAACCATAAAACTACTATATAGATCAACACAATTTTGCTTCTTCCATCATGAGTTTCAAATATATACATGAAGAGGATCCTTATTAAGCATCAAACAAAGTTAAAGTACGGGTTAACTACAGAAAAGTGGAGATAACATCAACACACCTTTTCCAAATCATGAGAAGCCTTCTTGTTGAGCATCTCAGACACAGAGTTAAAACCCGATTTCTTTGCTGTATGAACTAATAAACCAGTAGGTTTTTGACCTTTTCTTTTCCTACAAGATCACTCTTCTTTCAAAAGCAACACACAAAATGGTATAAAATGAAAACAATAACACAAACTTCAAAACATAAATCCAACCCACAACTTACATGCAAATACTGCAGTTGCAACTGCCTTTGCACTTTGGACACATCCAATCACTCAACAGATCTACCTCTTCTGCCTTTTCCCCATATCTAAATTCAACCCAGAAAAATGATCAAGTGGAAAAAAAAAAAACACAACAAATTAATTTACCTTTGACTCTTAATAAAATAGAACAACTCTGAAATTAAAACCAAATTAAAAATAAAAATAAAAATAAAAAAGGTGAAGCAAACCTGTTCAAGAGGCACTTGTGACAGAACCTAATGGTACAAGGCTTCCCATTCTTTGGATTCTTACAAGCAGCAGAAAAATCCAGTGTTTTTTGACGGCACTTCAAAGTGAAAAACCAAATAGACAATGTGTTAACATCAAAATCACCTTCAATTCTTGAAATCAATGAGATATAGTTTCTAGCTAGTCAAGTTAAACCTCACAAGTTCACATTTTCCATATAACTCCCAGTGTCCCATTAAAGGCATATCCAAAATCCATAACCAATTATACACTGGCATGAAAACAGTATACTTAATCACCAATTTTAGCTTATTAATCAAAATCCATAACCAGATCTACAAGAAAATCAGAACATCAATATCTTCTATAACCAAATTCCCATATTTATTTGCTCTTAATTTCACTCCCTCACTTCAATAAATCATCTACCACATAATTAAACAATTACACCTCATAATAAATCACAGCACAATCTAAACATATAAATCACCAACACATACACAAAACAAAACTAACACATCCACGTCAGTAATAATTTAGGTCAACAGAATATCGCGCCAGAACTACATAGATCTGAACTAGATAAGCATTATTTATTCAATTGAATACTAGATAATACGTTAAATGAGTATAATTAATATATATTAACATGTTATCAACAGAAACCCTAGGAACTGAATCAACCTGATGGCAGGATTTGCCATTTTCAGAATCATAGATTCGGCTTCCAACGACTCGAACCCCGCGTGAGTTGTTCCGGCTCACTTGCTTTGCGCCGACATCAACGTCGCTCTCGTTCAGCGGTAGTGGAGATGAATCGATTTCCATTCTGGTAGTAAAAACACACAATGATAGAGAATGAGCAAGAGCGAGAGAAGGAGCGAGTGATTTAGGTTTTGAAATGAAAATGAGCGGAGAGGTTAATAAATGTAACACTGTGTTCTCAAATTTGTTTTCCCTCTTTCTATAAGGTGGTGGCGGGAAGAGAGAAATGTAAAAAATTTGATCTGAAGATTCGTGGATTTTAATTTCAAATTTTTCAAATATGGTGGGAATTTTTTCATATTTTACGGTGTCGTTTCGATTTGAGGAATAAAGGCTTCGCTTTTCAATTTGGAATATATGGAAATTTTAAGGGTCTGTTTGGTTCAAATGAGGGGGAGGGGAGGGGAGGGATTTTAATGAAGGGGAGGGGAGGGGAGAGGAGGTGAAGGAATTTTTTAATCAAATACGTGTTTGGTTCAAAAGAGAGGAGGGGAGGGGAGGGGAGGGATTTTAATTAAAAATGTGTTTGGTTCAGAAGGGGAGGGGAGGGGTTTTATTAATAATTTACATTTTTATCCTTATGATCTTATATAAGTCATATGATATTAAAATGTGAAAAATTCGTGCGTATTTTTGTTGGTAATAAAATTTATAATATTGAGTGATTAAAAAAATACTTATTTGTCACATAAAGTTAAAAAAATTGAGTACAATCGATTCGACTTATAACTTTCCAACATAAATTAAACTATATGTCAATAACATTGTTTAAATTGTGATGAATCATATAACAAAACAAATATATAAAATAACTTATTACTAAATATTAATGGTTCAAAATATTTAATAAAATGAATAAACAAAAATAAATAAAATGATATGGTTTACAATTTGATATAAAAGAAAATATGATAGAGTACATAACAAAATTAAAAGAAAAAAAAACGAATATAACGAAACATAATTTTTTTAATAAAAAAAGACAATGATTATGATTTATATTAATTACAAAAATTATAAAATAATTTGAAGGTGGAGAACAATTATAATAAGTTGATGAAAACAATCGAGAAAAAACAGTAACACAAAAGATAACAAATAGTTTTGAAATAATAAAATTAAACTGAGGATATTTTAGTAAATATAATAATTTGTTAATATCAAAAGTCATATTCCCTCCCCTCCCCTCCAAATCCCCCCAATTCGGAGGGAACCAAAAAGTGTGTTTTGGAGGGATTTTGCTCCCCTCCCCTCCCCTCCCCTCCCCTCCTAAATTTTGAACCAAATATATTTAATTAAAACTTTCCCCTCCCCTCCCCTCCCCTCCCCTCCATCTACCCCGAACCAAACACACCCTAAGTGTATATTTTTAAGGTGCTTGATTTATGACGGAAAAAGGTAGTATTTGTTTTTGGTTTTTTTTATGTTTTACTTTTTAATTAAAAAAAATAGCTATTTTGTCTGGAGATCAAGTTATTCTAGAATTTAATTATCCGTTAATTGTAACCGTGTGATTTAAATTTTTGTTTGACTTTTATTTATATACATATATATATATATATATATATATATATATATATATATATATATATATATATATATATATATATATATATATATATATATATATATATATATATATATATATATATATATATATATATATATATATATATATATATATATATATATATAATGATGAAATAACCATGTAAACCTTTTTTATATTGAGAGTGTAATGAATTCAATATTTTATATTCAATTATTTATTGAATTGTTTAAATTATATGTATTTTTAATGCATTTTAAATATAGTCGTCTTGAGGGCGTGTAAAGCAGACTATAACATAGAATTTAAAATTTATCACGATTAAATCGTGCTTAAATAAGACCTCGAGAAATATTATTGCGATTAAATTGTGGTTAAACAAGGTCTTTATTTGTTTTTTCAAGGTTAAACTATGACTAACTTACACAGGGCCTCCAACAATTTGAGACGACTGTGATTTTAAATATAAATACTATTTTGGATGGTCAGTAGCTCATTAAATTTAGCTAAATATATAAGTTCAGTCCAGTCAAGACGTGCTAGTTGCTAACGAACAAATGGGCTTGCATTTACAAGTGACGCACAATAGCACATCCTTCTTCCCATCAAAATTATTGACTTGCATTTAACGTCTACTCGTACTCCATGTCGAGCAACGTGGAGACACTTATAATCGCTCTTTTTATATAAGTTTGAATTTGAGTCATACCCAGGTATAATCTAACTCGTACTTGCAAAGTTTCGCCTCAAACACACATTTAATTAAGTGTCATAGTACTAACCTTTTTGCAATTACCTTCTCTGATCACTAGATAATTCTTACCACCGTGCTGGAAGCATCTTCATGGTGGATGTCATCAACCTATTGCCAATTCTCTATTCTAATACGAGCTAATGACATTTTTTGCAGCAATTGTCTTTTGATTCTCTCAAATTCTTTTTTATTCTCTCGTATTTCCTCAATTGTACCAATGCATATGTTTTCCAATTATAATTTTAAGCAACTATAACTTATTTTTGTCGATCCTTCAATAGAAGACTCAAAACCAATTTGTACTTGGAGCATCACCAACGATCTCCAGTCAGATTCTTCAGAACAATGTTTCGCCAATTATTTTTCCCTTTGATAAGGATCCATGATTCCTCAATTGGTAGTTCAAGATACTTGTTCAATATTGTCATCGCAAAACTAGATTTCTCATGTTTCACTTCCTCCACCACAACCTTGTCTTCCTCCTCCTCGCACTTTGGTTCCACCATCGGTATATCACCTTCAACGACATCAGACCTGTTGGACGCACTAAATGCAAATGAACTTTTGTTAAACGTTTTCAATCTAATACACCAATAAAACGCAAGGCTCGTTCGTGTCGAAGAAACCAAAATAATAAATTTTTTTAGGAATTTAGCATAAGAGGGCGTTTGAGTTAATTCATCGGTAAAAGGCACATTGGTGCGGATCTTCTTAAGGAGTTCCACCAAAATTTTAAATTGGGCCTCCATTTTAACCTTTACAAGCCTTTATGAGAAAGAATAAGATGGTTTGTAGGGAGGATGAGTAACATATGGAGCCTCCTTCTCAACCTCTTTAACAACCTCCTTTTTAAGTGGTATTAGTTCTCTCTTTTTAATCTCTTTATTTATGTCATCAAAACTAACTACTTGCTCACCACTTTGGGTTGTCACAACATTCAAGTACCCTGTAGGATTTTACTCGGGTTGTCCCGAAAATGATCTTCGAGGGACGGAAGTAGAAGCTTTTTGTTGTGCAACTTGGGAGATATGAGTTTCCAACATTTTATTATGGGTAGAAACATTGTTAATTTTGGTAGTCAACTGCCTAAGTGCCTCATTAGTGAGAAGGTTCTTATTTTTGAATTCATCATTTTGACGAGTTTGCGTCATTACAAAATGTTCCATCAAAAGTTTTAAGTTAGACTTCTTATGGCCAGCTGGCATAGCTTTTTGAAAACATGACGGTCCCATAGCTTGTTGAGGGTGGTTGTTCCTATATGAGAAATTTGGGTGGTCTCATCATCCTAGGTTGTATGTGTTATAATACATATTATTTCACTGGTTATTCTTCACAAAATTAGCATTTTTCTAGATGGATCCTCCGACGAGGATCATTTGACAATCTTTATCAGTGTGTCCATTTTTCCGCACATATCACAATAGAGAGTGGCAGGAGCAACATAAGCACCGTGGAGAGTGAAGAAAACCTATCAATTTTCTAGTGGAGAGCATCCACCTCTTATTGTCTTGGATTTTGGGTCTCACGTAAGAAATGCTCGATTTTATTCACAAGTGCAACTAAATTCTTAGCATAACGAGTTATTCGTGTACAATGGCAGCAAGAACTACAACAAAATGAAAATAAAAAATAAAACTCTAGTTTATACAATGACTAAATAAAAGTTCAATATCAAGCACAGTTGATCCCTAACAACAACACCAAAAACTTGACACGCCGCACGTGCACGGCTATGCAAAGTAATAAAAGATTATCAAACCACAAGGAGTAATGGATTGAGCACCGAACTTTGTTTTATCGTTGTATATCTAGAGAGACCAAAATTTGGGGTTTTGTAAAACAACTTATTTAAAAAGCACTTTTCAGAAAAATAGCTTAAATAAAAATAACTTAAAATATAATGAAACAAATAGGACTTATGGTCATGATTCTTACTCTGACATATTTGTATGATCCAATTCAGTTATATTACGAGAATTTTGACACGACTTATAGAAAATATATAAATATGGACAAGACCTGCTTTTGCTAGTGTATTGTCTTATCTATGATGAATAATTCATATGCTTTCGCACAATCGAATTATTCGTCAAGTATTATTTACTTGTGCGCAGCTATAGAAATGAGACATTTCTCAATCTCATCCAAGCACTTTTTATGTATTAGACTTAATTATTTAAAAATCTATGTTCGGGTACCGATGCATATCCTTTCAAGCTATGATTGGTACCTGAGAACTCATTACTTTCGTACAAGGATTGGAATGACAGAATTTTGGTATTAAAATAAACTTGAGCAAAACTCTCGTAATCGACTTGTGAAAGATCATACGAATAGTCATTAGATAATCCTCATGCCCCTTAGTCCCCAGTGGACTACTTACCCATGGTGAGGAACAACTTAATTAGAGCACTAATCATAATCGAAATCATGATAACCAACAAAATAGCATATCAATTGCAACGAAACAATAAATATAACCTACCTGGCAAGAAAATAACTTGAATTAAACTTGACCTAGTGCTCCATTGGAGACTTGAGTGCATAGCTTAGAAAAGTAAAATACGTGAAAACTTAGAATAAAAACGGGATATATCACTAAAGACTACCTATGAGTTTTTATAATAAAAATTATAATAGTGGACTAAATCTATATGATCAATGCTAAATGCAGTATGAAATATCTCAGATGAAAAGATGCAAAAGTCCCAAAACACCAACAACTTGAACCAGAAAAAGGAAAGAATAAATGGAGAGACA